TTATGATCCTTGTTTCAGTTTTAGCAGATTTGTAACACTGTTCCTCCTTTTTATCTTTGCGCTTCTGTCAGACTCTTCTCAAAGACCCCTTCTACATGGGCCTGTATCAGCGACGGGATCGGTCTCAAGCATACGATGACCTAATTGATGAGTTCATGGAAGCAGTTGTGGAAAAATATGGACAGGACACACTGATTCAGTTTGAGGACTTTGGGAATCACAACGCATTCCGCTTCCTTCGGAAGTACAGGGAAAAATACTGCACCTTCAACGACGATATTCAAGGTACACCAATCCTAACACTAGCATGTTGTTGTTTTGGCTAACTCATCTGAATCAGTTAGTAAAAATTCAACTTATGGTTATATTTTAGTCTTGTGCACTGGTTACTACAACTTAAGAAAAAATAATAAACAGATCAAAAGCATCATTATTGTATTGATTGTTTTCTGTATGGCTCTGTACGTTTGCATGTTTCCAGGGACTGCATCTGTAGCACTGGCTGGTCTGTTAGCAGCTCAGAGGGCCATTGGCAAACCCCTCACCGAACACCGTGTTCTCTTCCTGGGAGCTGGCGAGGTAAGTCGACATTTCCCAAGTTTTTAAAACTCAGCTTCTTTATGAGAGTCACACTGCCCCACACTGACAAAAGAAACACAGTAAGACATGGATTTGCTCAGTTAATGTGATAAAAAGGAACAGTTTCAATATACAATGTCTGAATACTTTCCCTCCAGGCTGCTCTTGGTATTGCCAATCTGATAGTGATGGCCATGATGGAGTTGGGGCTTACCCAAGCAGAGGCCAGAGAAAAGATCTGGATGTATGACGCACATGGTTTACTCGTGAAGGTTAGTGAGCAGAACAAAACCTTCTGTGTGCACACAGCTACATTTTGACCAGCATGGCTGCTTCCTCTTTGTGAACCTTCAGGACAGAGAACACAAAACGGATGCCAACCAGGAGCTCTTTGTTCACGACAGTCCGGGGAATGTACAGACCTTCCTAGATGCTGTGAACACTATCAAGCCCACTGCTATCATTGGTGATTACAGTCTAGTTTTTTTACTTCTTGGATGTAAAACACAAGGCCTTTATTTGAGGTTTCAATCACAAGTTTATTTTTTCTGTCTTGTTTTTTTTTTTTTATTTTTTTTTTATTTTCAACTCGGCATAAGGATTAAGGTTTGGTGTCTTTGTTTTTTTCCAGGTGTGGCAGGAGCAGGGCGTCTCTTTACAAATGATGTCATCAAAGCCATGGGATCCTTAAATGAGCGGCCAATTATATTTGCCTTGAGTAATCCAACGAATAAAGCAGAGTGCACAGCAGAGGAAGCCTACACAATAACTAATGTATGCATTTTTCGATTTTTTTTATTTATTTTTTTGCCCTCTATTTATTAACTTGCTTACTTTTTGAACTGTTGTAGGTAAGTTTAAAACGGAGTCTGCTGGCTACCCCAGTGCTTAGTTTTCTGTGTCTGTGTCTCACAGGGTAGATGTCTGTTTGCTAGTGGCAGCCCGTTTGGTCCAGTCACACTGAGTGATGGTCGTGTGGTTATACCAGGACAAGGGAACAATGTTTACATCTTCCCAGGTTATAATAAAAATGACTATGGATATTTATTATGTACCTAATTGAGCCTAAGAGGATATAAATTATCTGCACATTCCATGAACTTGAGAGATAAAAAAAGATAACTTATACTTTGTTTTCACTTTGTCAAGATGACTGATGACCCTATGTTGTGTATTGAAGCTCATCCTACTCATCCTATTTTTTGCTTCAGGTGTTGCTATGGCTGTGATCCTGAGTGGAGTGAGACATATCTGTGATACTGTGTTCTTGGAGGCTTCCAAGGTACAAAAAAGTGTTTCTCAAATCATTTTTCAGACTTTGCTGAACCTCTCCTTTACGTCACACTCTCTCCAGCTTTCCTTTTGTTGCTGACTGTCTTGTGTGTTTGCTTCTCTCAACCTCGTTTAACCCTTTGATGTGTCCTTTTCCTTCTCTCTAGACTCTGGCATAACAGCTATCAGATGAAGAGCTTTTAAAAGGCTGATCCATCTGTGTGCTTCCTTTTTCTGGGATACATTTCGATTAACACTCTTCACTGCAAATGATTAACACAATGCTTTCATGTTGAAATAGGTGTCTGTATTGCAATGGTAGAACCGGTTCTGCACAGTTTTAGTTTAATGTCTATTTTATTACTCAACCACTTTAAATTAATGCCTGCAATAAGATATGATTGGCAAGCAGAATAAATTACTGACAAATGATTATAGTACTGAATATATTCTTTTTTCATAGGTTGAAGAAATATAACATTAAAGTATTTCCATATCTGTTGCAGTCTCTTGCTGAGCAGCTAACAGATAAAGAGCTTGCAGAGGGAAGGCTGTATCCTCCTCTCGCCAACATCAGAGAAGTTTCTCTTCAGATTGCCGTCAAGGTAAACCCTGGAACAATACCCGTTTGTCAATTGCTCATTTATTATTAGTTGATGCTTCGACTGCTGGTGATTCCGTGTATAAAGTCATTTAATTTAGTCAAATCCTTCAGATGTAATCTTTATTTGATAGAGGCTTATGTTGTCTGGATAGAATCTGATTTCTATCAGATTCTATCTATGTAACGATTCCTTGAGGGAATCATTACCTTGGCAAAATTCCTGATTATTTGCCTTGTCTGAAGAAACTAGATATAACTTTGTAAATGTATTAAAAATTCAGCTTTGAATGTCAAACTGAACATATCTAAACGTGGTGATATCAAAGGTTTAAAAACGTCTCCAGCACTGCATGTCTCCCTGATGTGTTTCTTCTCCATTGCAGGTGATGGAGTTCGTCTATGCCAAAGGCATGGCGTTCCGTTACCCTGAACCTCTAGACAAGAACGGCTTTGTGCGTGCCACTGCGTTTAACACAGACTACGACTCCTTACTGCCAGATACTTATGACTGGCCAGGTGTTAGCTTCAGTCCTATCAACTAGAAGTAGAAAAGCACATCCTCAAAGTGGCCAGTGTCTTGGTGGACCCCTTTTCTCTTTCATTTTTCTCCCCAATTTTTTCCCCCGTGAAACAGTTAAAGCAATGCTGAGGCAAACGTTAGTTTGTGTCAAAGTAGATCTGTGAGAATTGGACTAGAGACAGACTGTAGAAGGAGCCACGGCTTCTCTCCACTGTTTTTTAATGTCAACTAGAGGGCCACCTAGTGGTGGAAAGGTGCAGTGTGTGATACCTAGTGAAATTTAAATGCCCTTTGCATTTCTTCTTCGTTTGAAAGTAGAAAACATGTGATTGTGTTATTATTTTTTTTTTTTTTTTACATTTTATGTCCAGCAACACTTTGATCAAACACTTTAAACACCGAGATAGCAATTTTGTAAGGGAAAACAAGGAATACTGCAACTATTTTAGTTTAAAATTTCTTTAACAAAATGGTTAGACATACAGTTATTGTTTTTCAATACATGCTTTTTTGAACATAAGAATACATTGGCTACTGAGCAATTGCCCTAATTCTTTTAAAACCGATTTCACCAGGTATCTGACAGAATAAATGTAACCCAATTGTTGTCTACACTCCAAATGAACAACTATTTATTAAGCACAAACTTTGTTCAAACTTTTTAACTGCATCTAGATATTACAACCAATGTTGTGTTAAAACTCCTTTAGTAATTTTATATTAGATAATCCATCCCCTTAAAACATTTCCTTTGGCTTAAGTGTTGAAGAAAATATATTACCCGTATTAGTATAACATTATAGAATATACATTATTTTCTTAAGATACTGTGCACTTTTTGACTCGATATTTATTTATTTTTTTTACTTTAATATCTCTCTCTTTTGTTCACATGCAATCGAGCACGTTGAGAATTTAGGCTTTTTTTAATCCATCCTGAAAGCTGTGGCCACAGATGAAGATTGCGGCTCACAGCAAGAAGTTGCGGAGCCACAGAAGATACAAATACCTGGAAATATAGTTTAGCGCCAGCTAAATACAGCAGAAATAATAAAGATGATTTACCTCATATGAAATACAAAAACAAATATCAAGATTTTCACAGAGGGAATAACTGTACAAATACACACACACGCACACACAAGTACAAATATAATAAACTTTATTATAAACCAAAGTGTCAGTTGTGTTGTTAAAGACTTTGGCAAAATTGAGCATTTAGATACAGTCTTATAGCCATAGGTATTGTTTTAGGTAATATTTACTGTAGACAGCTGAGAAATGGTCCGACAGAACAAAAAGTGACTTTGGTTTTAGTACTGAATGGTTTTCAATATTCAATGTGCAGCTTTTTCTCTGCAGCTTTAGGATGTGATGTGTTGCTAAAGGGAAAGTGTTATTTATATTTATAAATGTATACATGCAAAAATTAAATTAATCTGAAATAGCTCATGTGACGTTCCGCCATTTCCTGGCAGTATTTGTCCAATGTTGTGTTCCTAAACTTTTTTTCTTTTTTCTTTTTAATAGTGCTACTTTAGTTTTTTTAGTATGTTGGTAATTTTACTGAACTCTTATACAAAACTGCACTGCATTCTGGGAAATGTAGGTAGATGAAAGGCTTTATCCACTCAGTCTCCTAGCCAGCTAACCAAGGTGGGTGACAACTAACTCACTTTTGGTTACTAGTAGCGAGTAACTTGCGCAGTAGCAGTTTTGTGTTTCGCCACTGTGCCTCAACTTAGAACAACATAGAGTGATAATATGAATGCAACAGCTTAAAAGGAAATTGAGAGTACAGGTCACATCACCAGTTTGGCAGTATTTCAGATATTTAAAACAAAAAAACTAATCAATATCTGTTAATTGATATGAATACGCTGATATAATCATATCGCCCAATCTAATTGATGTACTGCTGCAGAATAAAATTATGTTGTATCTTGACTCACTGGTCTTGTAGTTTCCTTTTGATCATCTTTTATCCTTATAGAGATATTACAACAAGCAACCACTTTTAGAGTCTGTTGCTTAAATAGGGACTTAAGTATTAAAAGTATTTTAAACACTATGCTTTTATTTCATAAACATTACAGGAAAAAAAAATGTCGGGTTGTTGTCACAATTAAAGCATTACAAACACAAAGAAAATTTAAGCCCTGTGTTTTTAGCGCGTCTTTTCAGCCAATCCAATCTTCCAGCGCCGCGCCGTCTCACATTTTGCGTCATCACTGTGAGACCTGTTCTGGCAGGCAACATGGCTCACGTCACTGTTTGTGGAAGTTTCGATATTTTGGACTGATCTCCTGTAACTGGAAGGATGGCCATGGATATGACCTTCCTCGGAACCGGGTCGGCTTACCCGTCTCCTCACCGCGGCGCCTCGGCTGTGGTGCTGCGGACGGACGGGGAGTGCTGGCTGTTTGACTGCGGAGAGGGAACCCAGACCCAACTGATGAAGAGCCAGCTCAGAGCCGGTGAGGAACCAGCCGAACCCCGCTAAGTCTTTTGAAGTTAAAAAAAAAAAAAAGTTTGAGATGGTAATAAATCAGATTCATTTCAATCGGGACTTCTTCATTGTTGGTAGATCATTGTCACGTCATGGTGTCCACACAGGGCGCATCACTAAGGTTTTCATCTCCCACCTGCATGGCGATCACCTGTTCGGGTTGCCTGGTCTCCTCTGCACCGTGAGCCTCAACACCAACCCCGACGTCGAGCAGAGCCTGAAATGTGTGGACATCTACGGGCCCCGGGGCCTCAGGAAGTTTCTCAGAGTGACTCTTGGCCTCACAGGATCTCAGCTGCTCTTCCCGTATGCAGGCAGGTGCAACGCAAACCTCCTGCTGCCAAAACTCAGGACCGAATTGAAAACATGAAAGCATACCTTGTTTCCTTTCATGTTCATGTAAACAGGCGTTTCATACTGTCAGACATCTCAGCTGCTGCCTGGAGAATCAGTTATTATGAAGTTTTAAAGACTTGGAAAAATAAATATAATGCATTCTCATGAAGTATTAAGTACATGACGTATCCAGCTGTTTAGTTTAGAACTGGTCCTTTTTTGCTGTCGTTTGTTAATTGCTTATTGGTTGCCTCTTGTTGCTGTAGTGCATGAGCTGCAGCCCACACCAGACCAGAGTCCTGAAGAGGGACAGCTGAGTCTGGAGGTATGTTTTTTTTTTTTTTTTTTTTTTTCTCTTTTTGAAGGAGTTAAATGTGAAAAAATAAGCCAAACAGAAAAAAAACTAAAAAACTTATTTATTGTTCTATCTTGATCTTGAGAAATCTCAACAAGCTGTTGAGATGAAGTTCCTCAATCATAAATGCATCAAGATTATTTCAGCTTCCCTATATTTATTTACACTTCTTTAAAAATGGATGCATTGAAACGACATCTGTTGTTTATTACTTTTATTTGAGTGATGCTTGTAGGTTTCCGATTTGCTCTGACATTTGTCTAACATTACAGATGACTGTGGACTGCAGCCCTCCCCATCCTCAGGAGCAGCCTGGCAGGACGATTCCTCTGGACGTCTCCGGCGACTGTTACCTCCTCTTCCAAGATAACAAGTTTGTCGTCAAGGCCTTCCGGCTGTTTCACCGCATCCCTTCCTTTGGCTTCTGCATCCAGGAACATGATCGTCCCGGAAGACTGAAAACAAAACTACTAAAGGAGCTCGGTAATAAATACCTCCTGATTTACTATCAACCTGAACCAGCCATTGGACAGACGTTTCAATTTCCCATAGAAAAATCCACTTTTTACCACAAACAACCAAAGAATGAATTTAAAGTTCTTTTTTTTGTAATAGTGCGTTTAGTACATATACTCCTTTTTTGGTTAACATCACAACCTCATGGACTTTTGAGACATGAGGGACATTTTTGGACAGTAATTTCTGTATTTTTTAACTTTCTTGGTTATGTTGAAAGAAAATGTCCATCACGATGTATATTTTTAAAACCCCTTACCCTCATACACTTTTTTTTTACCCAGAAAAATGTTTAAAAAAAAAGGTTTGATGCAAGTGGTGTGAGTGTGTCTAAAATATTTTAGGGAAACAAAATAATAAAGAAATAAGTGTGAAAACGGGGAGAAAACATTTTCAATGCAAATTTAAGACTTCTTGTATTTTTGTTCACATTCCCAAACTGACAATGCTGTTAATCATTGGCCGATTTCAGTTTGGTAACAAAGTGTGAAACTATAAACAGGAACTTTGTAATTTTGAAAGCTTTTAAGCTTATGAGCTAGACAGTGTAACTGAAAGTTATTATTCTAATTTTATTAATGATTGATGTATTTTCTGAACTTTAGGTATTAAACCAGGACCTCTGTACGGCCGTCTCAAAGCTGGCGAGTCTCTGGTTCTTGACAGTGGACGCTTACTGCATCCCAGTGAGGTTCTGGAAGCAGACATTCCCGGGAGGAAAGTCTGTGTTTTCGGTGACTGCAGCTCGGTGCTTGGTGAAGGAGCTTTCCGTCTGTGCGACAGGGCAGACGTTCTGGTCCACGAGGCCACCCTTGGGAACGAGCACCGGGAGAAAGCTGTGGACCACGGACACAGCACGCCCGAGATGGCAGCGGCCGTGGCTCGGACTTGCTCTGCACGGAGGCTGGTCCTTTATCATTTCAGTCAGCGCTACAAACCCAGTTCCCTACAGAAGGAGGGAGACGAGGACGAAGTCTCAGAGCTCAAGAAGCAAGCTGACCAGGCTTTACAGGACAGTGGGGTAGAGGTGATTCTGGCAGAGGACTTTTTGACCATTCAAATTCCTCTCAAAAGACAGCCGTCCAGTTAAGTGGATATGATTAATCTAACGTGTGTCATTTAGTCCTTATTTATCACTGACTGTCATTTCCTTGTTCACTGTAAACCAAAATGTTACCCAGACATACAAATACACTCTAAAGCTTTTCTTAGAATGCTTTTTTGTTTTTCTCAATTTTCTTTAAAGTAAAACAAAAAAAAAAAAAAGCAAATAATTCAAGTCCTCCAGCAGGTTCTGGCATAACTTCTGTTTGATGGTAAATGAAGGTTAATTGCCTGTACTGCAGTAAATGTTTGCTAATAACTCAAGTATATAATGACAATTGTTTAATTGCAGCATGCAAGTTGTTGAGGGCGTTAGGAAACTTCCACTCGGTTAGCCTGATAAAAACCAGCTCCTTGTTCTACGCTTTGCTTCAAACAGCGAGTCCGAACGCCCGGCTATTGACAAATGACCGCTTGCTGGAGGGTTGGGCTTTTAATAAACTTGCAGGGTAGGAATGAATGTTTTATTAGATGTTCAATATTTATCTTTAAGATAACTGTTCTCACTTTCTTCTACTTGCTGGACAAATCTCCCTGTAAAACATTCACCTCAGGTATTCATGTTTGAGGAATGGGGGGCTTGCTATCACTGTTTTCATCTTTAGTAGAAGTTATGAATTGAAGCTTTATCATGCTTTGGCAACTTTTATCTGCATTTATTTTTTTTGATGCCTTTTTCAAAATTCTCAATTTCAGTCAGATGAATCTTACAAGTTCTGACCGTTGGCTTGACACCCATTTTTCTGGGATGTCAACTTTTCTTCTACAGTTTTTCTTTTCTCTTTTTCTTAATTTCGTTGTTCAATATACTGACCTCTGTAATATTATTAAAGACAAAAAGAAGTATGCAATCATCTCTGAAGTTTTTCCAGAGCTTTATTTCTGGATCTGTACACAAGGTATTAAAGTACAACAGAAAATACAAAATAATGTTTAACAAAAGAAAAAAAAAACAACAGCAATGTTTATGTACAATTCTTATAAACAATAAAGATAGCTTCTTGAACATTTCTCATAGTGAAGTTTTTGATTGTCTATATTTCTGGATATACATTTTTACGTTTTGTAGGGTTTTTTTTTATTCACAAAGGTGTTTTTCGGTTTTAAAGGATGTGAATTTTCAGTTTCAAAACACGACTGCTATATTCTGTTTAACTTTTAAACTTCTAAACACAATACAAAATATAAAATAAATTTGTTTAGTGCTTTCCTGCACACACAAATCTCAAGCCAGAGAGATCAATAAAATATCACATTTTCCGAGTTCACAGGGAGGTGAGAACCTACTCAAACTACTTAATGGCCTTTACATTCTGACAGTTTTTAGTCTTTGTACAAACCACATGTGAAATAAATATCACTGCACTGCTAAAGCTAGAAGAGCTTGGAGGACCTACTGCATTATGCACATTGCATTAAAAGAGAAACGAGCTCTTCGCATACTTAGACTCAGCAGCCATCCCTTAACCATCAAGACAAATATCGACGAGTAAAAAGATTTAGGAAAGAAAGATGAGTGTCTTTTACACATGGCTGCAAAAACCGCAACATTGAGTAATACCAGCACGTCTTCAGGTAAAGCCGTTTTCTGTGGCACACTAGAGAGGCAGGTGCAGCTGGCATGCGTGGTTTCAGCTGCCGCCTGGAGTTTTTGGGTATTGTGACAATCCAAACAGAGAAATGAGATTTGAACAAGTCAAATGTTTAAATGCAGAAAAAATAAAAATAACCCATGACTGTACATATCTACAAATTATTGCCTTTCTGACAGAGAACCAAATTTGAAAGCTTTGTATCAACACAAACTCACAAGTGTAAGAGGTCAGTTAATAGGCGTTTTAAAGGCTATTTGCTAATTATTTACATGAAATGCAGATGTAAAGAACCTCTCTCTGATGCTGGGCTTTCGAACTGAATTTACATGATGGAAACTTAGTGATGATTAGTGGGCGTGAATTTGATCTTTACACAAACATTATGGGAGAAATGCAAGCATGTACTGGACAAGACAGACATGATGTTCCCCTGAAACAAACTAAACACTCATAGCACGATGCATAGATAAATTAAGTAAACACTACTACTGCATCCAATTCACTGACGCCGATCCGCTGAACTTTTTTTTTTTTTTTTGGGGGGGTTTTTTGTTTTTGTTTTACAATTATGGAATTCAGTCAAGTAAAAACCGCTCCATTTCTGCTACGTTGCTCCCATGAAATTGTCAATCGGGTTTTAAAAGGCATCTCTCGTCAGTACAGGCTAAGCAGAGGTTACGTACGCAACTCAAGAGGCTTTAAATAAACATAACACCACCAGCAGGTTTACCAAAGCTTGCTAGTAATGGGGGGAAAAAAATGGAGCTACTTGATTGAGGAACAAATTCTACCATATTTAACAATAACAAGGTCATATACAGGTAAACCTGCCAAAGAGCAGCATGAACAAACTCAAAAGTATTAAATTAAGTCTTACAAAGGTCAAAGTATACTCAATAAATACAGAACTTTACTGTGTCAGTGTTTACATGGCTATTAACCCAACCACAAATCTTTGCATTGCTATATTGCTGTTACAGTTTGCTCCAAAGAAGGTTTCACAACAAGGAGAAAAGGAAAACAATGCGACCCCCAATTACGTTGAGGCTGCAAAACGTTTTCTTCACCAGCTGTGTAGAAGCACGATGATAAAACAACAAATCAGGGCCAGAAATTTAGATTTGACATGAGGAGAAAAAAATAAAAAATTAGGATGCTGCAAAGGCTCGCACATGCCAAGTTAAATTAATCTGAACTTAAAGATGAGCTGCACCAAGAGACTGCCTCTTTACGGTTTCAAATCATGACATGTTTTGTGCGTCGCACTCCTCGGGGTTTTGATGTTGTAGCTGAGAGAAAGACTGGAAGCTAATTATTTTAGTATCAACAAAGTGTTTGAAAATTAAACCTCTATAATCTATGTATAAATTAGGCTGCAAAAGAGCAAGACTTGACTCAGCTAAAGTACTCTGTTTTTTTTTTTTTTCTTTCCTTCAAGTGCTTGTGAGTAATGGAACATGCCAGATTTGCCTTTTTGAAAATTTAATTAGTCTGCATTCTTTATCGAATGGGATTGGATGAGTTTTGCTTCTTCAAGACGAATCAAAATGTCAGAAAAAACATGTATAAGTACTACAAAAAAAATGTAACAAAGATTCTGATTGGTGCATCTCCATAAATTAACTCAAATTGAAGAACCTTTGCAGCAAGTCAAAACACTTCCTGGCCTCTGAGCGAATCTGCATGCTAGTGTTACTTCCACTCAGGTTTTTGGAGTTGGTGGGGTGGGGGGGTCAACAACACCATCTGCACCATTCTGATTACTGAAAAGTACCTGTAAAACAAACAAAATTTAAAAAAAAAAAAAAAAAAAAAATTAAATATAAGTACCACATCAAATAAAGACAGGCAACTACTAACACTAGAGGCAGAAAATCTGTTTTGGCAGCTGAAAAGACCGGCAGGGTAACAGACTGTAGCGCTGAAGATGCTTGTATATGTCAGGGAAGAAGATTCACGGTTCTCCTACTGCAGCTTCTGGGCCCCACGGTACATGGACGTTACACATCTCGTAAACGCAAACGAAAATAAAATAAATGGCTATATAAACTCTTGAGAGAAATCAAGATTTTAGTTCTATATGGTAGACATCACTGATGTCATATTACACAAAAAATGAAAACAAAAGGAATATTCACATACATATATATAGATATGTATATATTTATATAATAGAATTTAAACAAATCAGATTTTCCAGTGAGGTCAGTCTTATGTACAAGCAAGAAAAAAAAAAAAAAAAAGGTTTCAAAAAGGGAAGAACAGAGGAAGAGGACGAGGAAGATCACTCTGACTGAAGTGCTGCAGTATGCTGTGTGTGGTGCCGCGCGTGTGCTCCCAGAAACCCGTTGGGCTCGCCGCTGCCGGCTAAGCTTCCAAAGTCTGTGACGGACACGGCCATTTTGGCGCCGGTGATTCGGTGGTGGTGCGTCGTTGTCCGTCGGGCTTCAAAGTCCACACCGAGGTTAGCGACGGAAACGTCGTTGATAAACGAGTCAGGCAGTGTCATCTTGAGTCTCTTGGAGGGCCGCTCGCAGTCCTTGTTGACGCACACTCCTCCGAGCTGGCCCAGGTCGGAGTAGAAGCCGGCGTCGAGCATGTTGAGGCAGTCGGGGTCGGCGCCGTTGGAAGGGAACCCGAGGGATTCGTCGTGGCTCAGGGATCCACGGTGGAGACTTTCCAGAGGAGGAAAGCTGTAGGAGTCTAAGCAACTCACCTCACCAGGGGCGCATACTGTGGCTACAGTGTTGCTTAAAGCTGTGAGGACACAGAACTGTGTTAGTTTGGAAAATCTACAGTTGACAACTACGTTTAAAAAAAAATAAAAAAAATAGGACAAGTCAGAAAATCAATGCTACGAAGAATTTCACATTATCCCCACACAAACCTGTGAGATCGCTTGCAGTGATGGAGTTGAGCAGACTGAGCTGCTGCTCTGTTGTGGCCTCCATCCTTCCCCCTCCACCCGCGCCTGAACACACAGATGACGAGCTGTCCACCGCCAAGCCCTCTGCTTCATCCACCAGCCTGTCCATCAGGTCACTGCGCAATAAAATCACAACCGAGACAATTTCTTCAACATCAGGTATCGTATGTTTTCCCCCAGCCTGTGTGTGAGACACGGAGCAAACAGGTCAAACCAACTTGTTCCGGTCACTTACGTTACACCAGGATAGCTGCTGTACTTCTTCTTCCCAAACCGATTCTGCTGCACAAACACGTCGAAGCGCTCGGACTTCTTCCACATGTAATAAAACGCTACGCATTCTGCTACTGTCCGTGTTGTTACCTGAGGGGACAAAAACATTCAAATTCAATATTTTTTTCTTTTTTTTTTTTTTACTTTTGAATAAATACTTTAGTAAAAACAAGAAATAAGTCTCACTTTGTGCTTCTGAATAAGGTGAAAGTTCTTGTCGTACATCTGAAGAGCATGTTCAAAGTTCCTGCATTCTTCCTCCGACCATGGAGGAGATTTTTCTAAAACAAAACACGACAAATATTAAACAGCGATTCCTGGAATCATCTGAAAAGTAAAGGATGTCTTAACCACAGAGTCAGTCTAAATAACTGAGCTTAAAGGCTGAAAGAATTAAGTTTATTAATTGATCTAACATCTGACAAGACAAACTTTGGATATTCCATGATTTACTATTACACCTCATCTGAAAAAAAACATACATATTTATAAATAAAGGACCTATTGAATGGAATAGTGAGATCATTTCCTTGTTTGCTTACCTTTAGAGGATTTCACATGGTTGCAGTATCTTTCTAGTGCTTCACGGATGTTGTAGTTGCATTTCACAAGCTCGTACAAAGCCTAAGTTGGAAAAAATTAAGTATTGGACAAAAAAAAAAAAAATCAGATAAAAACTACCCATAGAAATCTTGATTTATTTATTTTTCAATATGTTACATCAAAGGATCGTCAAGGAGATGTGACCTACCTGCTCGTCATCTCGAACATGCATCCCTGGTTTGTCGCATCCTGTGCTTTCATCCGTTGTCCTTGACAATACTTCAGAGAGATAACTCCTAACCTTGTTTTCGGACAGAACGTCTGGGCTCCATAGTAACTCGTCATCATCTTCATACACTGTTTAAAATGGTTTAGAGTTAGAGCTGCTGCTTAATTCCCCTTGATGTTGTTAGGAATTGGCTAGACAGCATGTACAGATGCAAAGAGCAGCGCTCACCTTTCTCCTCATCTTTGTAGTGACAGAGGCCAGATGGCACCTCTGCTTGGTACTCGGCCCCCACCATGATTTCCTTGAAAAATAGAGAATATCATGTTGAAAGTAACTACAAAAGGTCTGGCTTCATGTGACATGAAGTTTATTATTACGCAATATATAATACAATCCATCACTCACTTTTCCAGAGTCGTCGGGGCTTGGCCCAAGATCGTCACACTCTGATTCTTTATCCCCATCAGAGATGGCATTGGCTAAAAAAAAAAAAAAAATCATATTAATAAACACACTCCTTTACTTTCTGGCTCAGAAGCGTGAGGTTTAAACCTTCATATAATTTTGAGAATCTACAAGATGATCTCATTTGTCTGTAAAATTTTGCTGAACGCACAAATAGTGTCAGGATTTAGTGTAAACTGGTAAACATTTTAAATGTCACCCAAAGTATTTGACTATTTTCCCATGACTTTGACATATCATTGATCTCCTGTTCATAGTTTTCTTTTTCAGGGCAAACACTCTGACTTTGATCGTCACCATGTTAAATATTGAAGGACACATCATCAACCATTCTAAAATCTGATACAAAATGTTATAATAAAATAAATGGAGGCAAATTATGATTGTGCAAAGTCACTCAGTCACAATCCAAATGCAAATATGTCACTTTTCACTCAGTAAGCTATACATAAAACTTTAACACCAACAGACACAAATCTGTAAACTTACATCGAAGTGTTCTTGGAAAGAAGTCTGTGGTCTCATGAGAAGTAACTGATGGGGTCAGATCATCAGCTGAAGATTGGGTCTCCTCCTCATAATGACCAGATAACAAATCTTTCGCTATTTCCTCCTGATAAGACCAGAAAAAAACAATTAGATAGAGCACAACTAATTATTTTGTCCAAGATATAAACTTTTTAATATGT